TTGCTGGTGTGGCAGGGTTTGCCTTGTTGCGAACGTCTAACAACATGTTTGCCAAGTATGGAGGAAGAACGGAAGCAGCGCGATCTCATCGCACTCCATATAAAGCAATGTAATTGGTTTTGATCACGCAAATGTGCTGCCACCTGGTGTCTCAGAGTTAAGCTGATATATCACACATGCTTCTTGCAAATGCAGAAGAAGAGGAAGGAAAAATGTTTACATAGGGTTGAACTTATAAATGCCAGAGAGCTACAGTGTTCAAAGTGCGATCGCCCTTCGGGAAGCAGTCTCTATATTGATCTCACATATCGAGAGGTAGTTCGGCGCAGTACACGAAGCACATTAACTGGCCAACGACTGTCGATTAGCGATATTAGTGAAAGACACGACTGTCTGAAAGTCGTACATATCAATAACTACCAAGCATTTTGGCTATAATTGATTTTTTTTTCCATAAAAATCCATATTAAATTGTGATGCTGTATTGGAAAGTAAGGAATAAGCTATGGTTTGACTATAAAATGACATATTTTACTCATTGGATACCATTTTGCATAACTTTTGTATGAAATTTCTCATGGGTCCAAAAAGACCCCACCTGTGCGCTTACGTTACTGTTTTAGCCTGTGCGGTTAAGGGTTAATTCGAAAAACGGGAGGAAAAAAAATAGTAAAATGTGTTGGCTTCAAATGCACTATAGCTTATACGAGAGGAAGAACAGAATATTGTCTGAGTAGATGATACTGTATGTCATGTATGAATATTTTACATTTTCCTTTGCTCAAAATAAACTAAAACGATCGTTCAAAATATCAAAGAAATCTCTGAAACTATCATCGCTACCAGCCATATTTTGAAGAGTCAAGTCAACGTCTACAATAACGTCTATTATAAATGCAATACCATTTTCGATGGTTTTTCCCTCATTCTTTTTTTGCCTAATTCAGATAAAACGCTCGTTTGGTGAAGATAACACAGCGAACATTTTTTGTTGTTGTTGTTGATGTAAACGTCGAAATAAAGCGAATGTCAATGAGTAAACGGGTATAGATAAAATATTACTTGCCAGCTTTGCTTCGTCTGACCCCTTTTTTTCGGTAAATATTTTTACATTACATCATAGAGTCTCTACGGATTCAGGGAATTATTTCGAGCACATTTTTATGTGACATTATGTTTTGCATTAAGTTATCTCATTCGCCACAGAAAGTGGTCTACATTCTTCTTGCTTGAGCGGCACAAACATGGGAAATATTCATTTTCGAAAATTGCATCATATTCACATACGATCACATACTGAAATATACAAACACATCCTTCTATAACAGCCAAATGAGGTTCTCGACGAATCAAGTTGGGCTTTTTCAGCTTCACCACACATACAAAAAATAAAAATACCACTCCAAAAAACAAACACCCAGCAAACTAAACACACAACAACAGCGGCAACAACAACGATATCATTGGCAGTCCTGAATGCACTCTTTATGAAAATTAAATTTATTTTGGAAGCTTTTCCGGGTGCAATTCCATTTTTATTTATGGCATTTCTCTTGGCAAATATGAAAATGTATGGTTCATACAACCAAAATTGATTTAATCAGTTTAATAGAACTTATAAAAATGGTAAATGTTTCATTCTCCCAAATTGTTTGTGAAGTATTCCCATAGCGTTGAAGATGGTTTTCCCTCTGTTTACAAAACTATCACAATTTCACTCTCTTTTACTTGTTTATGTGGAAGTCTCAGTTCAATTAGGTTTTGTGCTTGCTACACTGGCTGAAGCATGGCAAATTATTTTTCATGTCATAACAAAGCTTTCTTTTCATTACTTTAAAATTGTCTGTACAACGCATCCTTTAATGTATTCGAAAATGAAGTGAAAACTATGCGCAACGTTAAGTTTCCGCCATCTAACAATTTCTATATGGATACATATTTGAGCTTCTTTACATGTACAAGCCAAGGATTTTGATGCCTTTGCTGTGTGGCATGTGCATTGTTGCATCAGAAGAATAGCGAGCTGCAAAAACCGATGAATAGAAATTCGTGTATTATGTGGGAAATGGCGAATGTAACTTGTGCTGGCAATGTGCTTTAGGTCAATAGAGTGTTTCAATGAGAACATTGTTGCTATTGATTTATGCGGTTGAACAAACAGTTTCTACTTCATTATTTGAAATATGTACAGTCTATTTAGGATGGCATTGGTATACAATGACTGAGCAGTGAATGTATTAGATAGATTTTCCATTCTTTAGCCAAAACTTGACATAAGATGCTGGCCATTAATTCATTCTGATCCTTTTGTATGAACTTCCATTGGCTTTGTGTACACAACATTTTTATCGATGAAAAGACACGCTTTAACCGCTTCGCAACCAGATGAGAATGAAAGCTTAAGCTCTGTCTGCGCACACTTTCTTTTATCGTAGTTAATAATCTATAATATTTTTATGGTCTCTAACTATTGAAAGGGATTCGACTCCCCGCTAATTCTCTCCCGTCGCACACATGGGGGAAACGTTTAATTTGTAATACTATATCGTCATTTCATTTTTGATTGCAACATCGTCAAACGTTTGTACATAAAATGCGGCAAATATACTATAAGTAATCGCTTGTGATGCTGTCGCGCAGCTTTCTCTTATTCGATGTTGTGTTCGGTACCGAATAAAATGTCTTATTCATGTAGTGATTCATTCGAAAAGCCATAAAAAGTCGTTTTATACACCACTTTTTCGATAAAGTGAATGCAATTTATTACGCTTTTTTTTCTTCTGCGATTTATTTACATTGAATCAGTTTATACGACACACAAAACCTATAATATTGTCCAGCATCTAAAGACGAGATGTTGCAATCAATTTCACATTGTGCTTCGATTTAAAATCGCCTGCAAAGAAAGCAAAGAAAACCAAATCAAAAAATCTAATTCACGAGAGAAAAAAAAAACAGAAAGTCGGGGAAAAAAGTTGTCGAAAAAAAAATGTCAAAGTAAAGCGAAATCCAATGCACCATTATTCACGTGCGATTGCCATCCGAGATCGTTCGATTCCATAAATTCCAAACAAATTGTTTGTGATTTTAAAAATAATGTGTATGTGCGGGCGTTTACTCTTCTCAAGTTACAATTGTTTGTTGCTGAATTTACGGCATGGGTACGACGACAAGAACAAAAAAGAAGTCACAGTAAAAACCATAATCGGGACCGATTTATTCCACATGGTGCGGTCAAACATTCAATGTGATGTCAATAAATTGTTGGGCATTTTTCTATTTTCGTGTACACACATATGCTTTTTCTTCGTCGAGTGTGCAATACACAGCTCTTGAAACAACTCAAACAACAAGAAGTCTCAAGGACAAAACATTGAACAACTTGTGAAAACGGTTCGGAAAGGATTGGCAATCATTGCCGTTGTAATAAGTAAATAATTTATTAGCGATTTTTTATAAAGTATATTTATCTGGATTTTTAACGTTTGATTCGATTTTGTTGCTTTTTTTCTCAAAAGTAACAAAAAATGTGAAATGGTTCAATTTGCCTGTGATTGTCTCACTTTTATCCCTCTCTCTATATCCGACCATTTTTTTCTCTGTGTAACATTTGATGCCAGTATTTTTTTTTTTATTGTTGTTGTCATTGTACATAAACGAGCTGCCGGGAAACGACATTAATACAATTCGTTGAATAGGTGTTTCTTGTGTCGTTTGGTTTACATTGTTCGGTGAATGTAACTTTTGTGTGGCAAATTTCATGCCATCACGCGCTCTATTTGCTACTTTACATCATCACACAAATACGCAAACGAGCAATGCATCAAGCAATCAACATTATCAAATACTTTGAAAACAATGGCAACGAAAATTGCTCGGAAATAAAATCAATACGTAGGTAACGAGGAGAGATTTACTTGAAAGATTCACGTACGTTGCTACGAACTTTTTTTTCTTCGTCATTTTCTGCGCGCTATTCATATGAACATGAAGATGCGAACGTGTATGCATGAGCACCTGACACGAGGTGTTCAACGACACAGGCGAACAGAGCGTCTTTTTTCCGCCACGTTCGAGTTTCTCTTAAGCGTATTTTTTTTCTCTCTCGAACAGAGATGGGAAGAATGAAGAATGAATGCACATTGGCTTGAACACAAGAAAGGATGAGTATGCATTTCATGCGTAATTTGTTGGAATTGCCATTGAGCTCTCTTATGCGGTAATGCAAACCATCCCTGGTTCACTTGATTTGCATTTATGTTTTCAGAATCATACATTGTTGCAATGTGTGTATGCTACAACTCTTACTATTATTACTAAACAATGGAATGTGGGAATTACTTTCCATTATCGCAACCGTCATTATTTTTATATTGCAAGGTTTTATGCACAAAACATGTGAATTGCATTGAATTTTTCTCTTGGCTTCGCATCGAGCACGGCATGAGAGTGAGAGTGAGAGAGAGAGATGGAGAATCTAAACATACAATGTAAATTTTGAGGTGCAAAATAAGACTCAAGTACCAATCACAATAAGCCAACGATATAGATGAATTCAATGTAATATGTAGGAAGGTATTCGTTGTGAATTTTGCAATTTTGCATTTTGAAATGTTCCTAAAGGAATTTTTAATGTTTCCTCTTATCATATAACCAACACTGGTAGTAGCTGGTACAAAGCGACTAAATTTCATTTTCGTTCTCGCTTGCAACTTCATCAAAATCTCTAATGTGCTTTCAATAATTTCCCATTCGTACGATAGATTTGGCAACGATGAGTAAATCGAAGTGTCAGACAGCAGAATCACGTGCCATTTGAATTGGTGAAAATTCTATTTTCCTCTTTGCTAAGAAACTATTTTACATATCAATCGAAATCGACTTGTTCACATAGAGAGAATATGTTTTTGTGCCAAAAGTTTGGGAATCATACAAAGCAAGCGCCGCAAAAAAAAGATGAAGAAATTAACGCCTTTCTTTAAATTCTATTTTCTTTGCAGTGAGAAAGCTGATTTGAAATCACGTTCGGATAGCATTGGGATCGGTGTTGGACCGCCGCATTTGGATTCGATATATACGACCCCTTCAGGATTCCATCATCATGCCCATCATCATTCGCAGGGCTCACCAGAAGCAATGAAGGTACGAATGGCAGCAATGGTTTGCCAACCACCAACACGTGTCTAGCAGACACTAAATTATGAGACTCATCACGATAAAGATTCAAATCAAGAGCACGATCAACTCCTTACTCCCACTTCAACTTCCAAATTGCACCATCAGTCTGCCACTAATAATAACCAATTGAATGCTTGCAACAAAGAATTTGATGGAACAATGGATGGTGATGAGCACCTAACTAGGGATAGTAGCCAAAGTAGTTGTAGCAATAATGAGAAAGTAGCAAACACCATCGACGCGGATGAGTCTCATAAATTGTTAATGCAATTGGACGTCGACGAACAAATTGATAATGATAATAATAATGATAAGTGTACTAGTCTTAATCAAGCGAATCGCAAAAGTGGTCATAATGATATTATTGAATTTGATTTAACAAAAGCATTAATTTCGCCGACAAATCCATTTCGATTGGATTTTATTCAATTTGAACGTTGCCGTTCAAATACAACACATTCGGCCGGCGAACCGATGCCAACTAAACCAAATAATAACATCGAACAACATGATAGCAGTAATATCTATCGAAATGATAGCATTATAATTAGTGAAACGACGGTTAATGGTAAAAACCGAAATAATGATATTAAATATCAACGAAATTCAAAATCATTAGGCTATTTAATGTTATGTAAACGAATCGAATGCAATTGTAGATCTAGTTGTAACTGTCTAATGCAAGTTAATTCATTAGATTTACGAAGAACGAAATCCAGTACGGGTATAAACCATTGTAAATGGAGCAACGAAAACGATGATGAGAGAACCAATTCAGACGAGACTCTTGCGAATTTTAACGCATCGACAAACAAATCAAACGACAATTCAATATCAGCAAATAATGTCAAAATCATGAAAACGTCACTTACAAACAAAGCCATTTCATTGCGACAATCGTCAAACAATTCCATTCGAAATAATTTCAAAGAATTTATCGAATTTCGACTGAATGCATTGCAAAATCAACATTCACAACAGACGGAAAAATTGATAGAGAACAAAACGGATTCTGTTAATTGTGACAACGATAGAAAGGTAAATAAAAACAATAATAACCTTCAGGCAAATTCACCGAAAACATCCAAAAGCTGTGCATCTAATGGCCAACGTATTAGCAACATGATTATCAATAATAACGCAGACATATTTTCATTTAATGCGAAAGCTTGTGCTGACAAAACAATAGATGGATGCGAATCGCTCGAGCGCGGTAGCCAATCGTCAATGGTGGCACATCAGTTAGCGAACGACAACTGGAAATCCATTGACAGCCACCAACAAAATCGATCGATAATTGAAAATTGGTCGACTCGTAATATTGAACATGATTTAATATCGAATGCAGGCACCAATCCATTTTTGGAACACGGAACCAATGTTGCAGAAAGCTGCGTTAGCAAAAATTCAAATGGCAAAGGAGCAAGCGAAGGTGTGATGGCAACACAAAACGACGAAATTCATGCATCTAATGATGTGGAAGAAACAATTTCGAACCAATTTATTACTAATGATGACACAATTCCAGCGAAACCGACATGTAAATTGAATCGGTTGAGCACATCGGTCGGCGATAATGAAAGAAATACGAACGAAAATGGTGAACGAGATTTATATTATAATGAATCGTGTTCAAGTCGAACGCGACATAAGCAAAAACATGATCGAATGACGAATAATTTATTGGAATACGAGAACGATAATGATGACAGTAATCAATGCGACGCTGTACGGAATCGTAGTGCAACTCTAATGAAATATGGAAACAAAAAGCGTCGACGCAAAGATATGATGAACAAAGATATGCGAAAGCACAATCACAGTACAGATAATTTATCATTGATTGACGGACCAGATCATCAGCAAACAGCTTACATTGAACAAATTAAATACGGAAGAAACAAAGCATATTTTCACGATAAAAACATACAGCAGCAGGCTTGCGCCAATAGTTTACAAAAAAATCTTGATTATTTTAATGAATTGGATCAGCAATTGATTAATGATGATAAGCTGGGTGGACAACAGCATTCCTATTCCACATACACATCCAAGAATCAGCAACAGCACATCATGAACGCCATGAATGACATACCGACATGTCCATTTCAAAGACAAGACTATACGAAACCAGACAATGAATACCAATCGGACTGTAACCGTACACAAAAGAAATCGAAGAAAGATTTGTTACTGAGTTTTGCAATGCAGAAGGGTAAATACTTGAGCAACACTATCACTCGAAGTGGTGGAGGCGATGGTGTCAGTGGTAGTGGTGGTGTGAATGAGAATGCAATTGATTGCAATGGTATGCGGAAAACAGGCAATACCATGAAAACCATAAACATATCAAATAACAGTATTCCAGGCGCCGCAAGAGCCCTAACGAATGCCACAACAATAACTCATGTTTCTGGCAAAAGCTCATACTTGAAGAAATTGAATGTTAGCTACGCAAATCGATTGGTTTCATCATCCAATGCGAAGCAACATTCATTCCATTTCCGTCACAAAGACGACAAAACGTACTTCGACAAAACGAAGAAGAGCCTACTGAAAATTGGACAGAAATGTGGTTTGAAATTGAATAACAGTTTGAGTGGTGGTATTCAAACGACCAAGAAATATGAGTCTTGTTCGTTGAGAGAGCCACTCACTGCATTCGATAGAGATGGACACCGTTACGCCAATCATCGGCCCATCATTGTTGAAAAAGTTCCATACAAAAGCTATCGCTCGGAAATGGATTTAACCAAGAATTTACATTATCTCGATGCATTTTTGAATGAAAATTTCGATAAATTGTCAAAACCAAAAGAGGGCAGCCATTCGATAGGTAAGTGTTCAATGCCATCATCATCATCCTCGTCACGCGATCGAAAAAATCTAAATGCAATGACATTTAATGATATCCAATATCGGGGTCATCATCATCGGACACAATCGTATTCCGAAGTGTCTGAATTTGACGCCGTTGACGATTCATACAATGCGTACAGAAATGCGGCAATCGCTCGACTGTCCAGCGAAATCGTAACAATGGAAAATTCATTAGGAAATGATTACACAGCCACAGATACAATAGCGTCGGCTGTGCAAAAACGAGAATTTTTCGTCAACAGTGCGAATAATAGCACTGGATATCGGACACCGAGCATAAGCGACAACTTGAACTCAATAGGTCAACATCATCAAACCAACCAATATGTCATTAGCAGCAGTACAAGTGAATCTTTTTCATTTAAACAGCAATCGTTGCCGAACCAATCACCAAATCAGGCGTCCGTTCACAGCAATCAAAAATTTACATTCGGAAAAGATTTGCAGGCAACGAATCATCCGAATGCTATCGCATTGCCCAACTGCGAACGTAGTGCAAAGAGTCAAACGACTTCGAGTTCATTGAGTAGCAGTGACTATGCATCCGTTTATAGTCCGAGCAGTGAAAAACACTATCAAACACAAACGCACATGACAAAGCTCAATAATGAGTTGTCGTTCAAACAAAAGCGCCAATTTCTACCAATTAGTAGTGCTCAGTATCAGAAACGGAATAGTTTCACTGGGCCCGATATAATATACGATGACCGATCAGCATCTGCCAAGTATTTAAGCGAAACGAGGCTCGTGAATTGTATCGATGGGCCAACAGATGTTGATGCTGATAGTGACAGCGATGCTGACGATGACGATGAGAATTTTGAAAATAATTTCAATGAGTGTGGCAATTTAGCGCGCAATACAACCCATTCCGATAAATTGCAACTGCTTGAGAAAAGTTTGTATCAGTATGAAAATAAATTGCCGTATCATGAAGATTATTTGCAACATTACTACAGTAACAAGAGTGGCACAAAACGAGCGTCCACTTCGAATGCTTCGATACAAAATCAAACGCAATTTCTATCAATCGCATCCAGTTCGCACCCATATTCGCAAGAGTCCCATCTGAATTATGCAAAATCGACATCAAATTTACCGAGTGGCAGTACGAGTACACATCCGTACTATGCACATGAAGTAACAATTCGCAAACAACCGAACTATCCCCAAAATCGAGTCGTTATCACCAAACAAAAAAATAACCATTCAAACGACATCGTACTCGAATACGAATGCTAAACTATAGATTTTCGAATGATTAAATCTTCGGCATTTGTATTCATGTAAATAGTATATTCATTTCGTTAGGTTTTAGGGCAAACCCATCCACATAGCAAATCATATATATGTATCGAAATCAAACAAACATCTGACAATAATTACATTAGAAACGAATTCACAAAATCGTGAATTTTTAGTTATTTTAAATTATTACTGTAAAACTTTAACGGTTAATGACTATTTGATCTTTATAGTCAAACAGAAAGAACAAATTTTAAAGAATAATTTCAAGAGGCGAAAACAGTGTGAGAGACAATTTATTTAGGAATGAGAATTCATTCAGAAGTAGATGAAATATGTGTAACATATATACATTTAAAATATTAACATGTAATTTTATGTGAGAAAGAAATCAAATTACAGAATATACTTAAAATTTACTTAAATTTGCTTGTAAAATATCTATATATATATATATATTGTTTTGGAAATATATCAAAAGAAAAAGAAAATTCTACGAATACCTTGAGCTTCCATGTCGAATCACAAGACATTGATTTTATTTTCAGCGACAAGAAAATCTAAGTGGATGTTTTTATTCTAAAATTTTATTCAAGGCATTCGAAAAATGTTTCAAGACTCTTAAGTCAAGAGACTATGTCACTTTCATCAGATCATAATGATAGATTTTTTTTTAGCTTAGTCGAAATGAAAGGCGTAATTGATGCGTCTCAATTTAATATTCAAGTACAGAAGACAATACAAATTACAATTGTTAAATGAATTTAATAGAAGTTATGTGACGAACAAAACCAAAATGTATAAATTTTAAAGAAGAATTCATCTCAACCGTTCTTTCC